AATGTATGCTTATATGCAATTTATACAATTTCGGTTTTTGTTAAAATTTACCCCCCACCTCTAAATTCACCCCCTCACCCTCACTTTTGTAAAACGCGTATTTCAAATACTAGAGACTTGTGCTTTGGCAATTACATGCATATTCATGTTATAATCATAATCTGAAAGTTTCATGAAGATCGTACGTCCACAAAAAAAGTTATTAAACAATTAAGTTCTCATAGTAAGCGCACACTGCAGCCCATGCGTGTTTATGCGTGGGTGCTTGTGTGTGTATGTGTTTGTGTATGTGTGTGTGTTTCTTGTGTAAGCTGAAAGACGCGAAAAATTATTGAAATAGCTAGCACTCCAAGGGTTCAGGGGATCTCGTAGTCGAGCAGTCTCGACTAGAGCTTTCTTACTTGTTCTCTATAAACTTATCTCTCACAAAATTCTGCGTATATCTGCATCGCAATCGAATCACTATATAAGAAGAAGAATTTCAATATTTATTAAAGCTAACGGAATCGATTGCTATTTCGTTCGTGTGAAATGATTTCACGTAGTAATATCAAAGAGTTCATTGAGAACAGAGAGCATCGCTGATCGCAGCGGTGATAATAAGCTTGATAAGCACGAGTTTATTGTATATTTATGAAGATGTTTATATGTAGTATGTAAGAGACTCATGCCCAAGTTGTTTTTATTATGGCAACAACTGCTTGATTTCTGCTGATAAGACCCCAGCTAGCACAGCAAGTCGATCACTACAGCTTGGCTTTGACTCTGGCAGCTAGCAACAGGTTGAGGACATCGTCCGCACAGCCCCAGCAGAGGGTGACTCCACTGCCGCCGTGTCCATAGTTATGTATGAGCAGCTTGTTGCCACGCCGCTCCGCCTCCAGGCGTAGCTGGACGCGACCCGGCCGCAGGCCAACCCAATCGAACAAATGCTCCGAGTGCTTGAGGCCTGGCAGCAGGCTGCGACAGCCGTCGATAATGAAGCGCTTATCCTTCGCACAGACATTGGTATTGTAGTCCCGCTCCTGGTGAGTGCCACCAAGCACCACAGACTCGGTGCTGTTCGAAAGGTAGTATCAACTGGATGGTATATATGCAGATCATTAAAACATCGAACTTACTTTGGTATGATGTAGTTGCCATCATCGCTTTCATCTAGGATCGCGGTGAACACCCAATTGGCCCTGACGCGGCTAACTTGGCCACGTACCGAATAGACGTCATCGTCGTTCAGCAACTGCCTGGAGCCAAGTCCGGTGCAGTTGACGATCACATCGTAGGAGGAGTCTCTGACAAAACTCTCGAGATCTGTGATTTTTCGCTGCTCAACTTGGCCGCCTCGGCGCACAAAGCGTTTCATCAGGTAAGGCAGCAGCTTGATGGGTTCCGAGGTGTAAGTAACAAAGGACATGCCGCTACTGCGGTTCGAACGTTAGACATGCGAAAGGGTCGATATGAATGGACTAACACTTACGTGAATTTGACGTCTCTGCCCTTGTTGTAAACTTCCAGCTGTTCAGCTGTTAGTTCCACAGCTCCGTAGACAATATCACGCCAGAAATCGCCAACGATCATGTTCGGATCTGAGCTGAGGCGCACGCAGGGCACCAGACAAACACCTGCCTCGCCCGCATCTTCGCTTAGCCAAATCTGCTCCAGGAATAGGTGCATATCCCTTGACCACTTGCTGTGGAAGAAACTCTTAGAATGGATATACCCACATAATACATATACATTTTGTAACACCTACTGAACTTTAGACTCATCTGTGCCGCCCAACAGAAAGGGTCCCCACAGACCCGCCGATCCGTCGCCCGTCGTATTGGGCGTGAATAGCTCCGACAATATGGTAACCTGCACATTTAGCTTCTTCTCATCCTGATAGTGCTCCAATATTTTAAGGGCACTCGCAACACCGTTCACACCCGCCCCGATAACAGCTACTCTCAGCATGATTCCGTCTGCGCAGACTACCCAAGCAATACTAAACTACGACGGCTCAGTGCAGTGCCTGTTATCAGCGAAATATTTTCACTCAAAATAATCACTTGTAATGAGCTCTACTATACGGCTCATGAAATCACCTCTTCCGCCCTGACTTTACACTGCGGCAGTTATATTTAAAAATAAAAATAAATAAATAAAAATTAATGTAAATGTTATATTTAAGCCCTGAAACCATTGAATAAAGAAATCAGGGTATAAATTTGCTTAGGTTCTAAACAAAATATTTTCTGCATTTCTTACGGCTTTTCGGGAAATGATACTAAATAAATTGTAACAGACGATGACAATTTTTTTTATATTCATTTCCTATTACAGCTCTTGTTATATTCAATTTGCTTGAACCTAATTGTCTTAGGAAAGTTCGTAAAGTAGGCCTTGAATTCTATCTATCAATGAGACTTTGGATCTACTGGGAAATGTAATTTCATTCAGTTAGTTTTCTCCGAGCCTTTCGAGCCTTTGCTTCAACTCGCTTCTAAATTAAAACAAAATTTATATTTTCCTTTAAATTTTTACCGGAATTCAAGTCAATTTCAAAATGTGCGGAGGCGGTTGCGGTTGTGGCCCATGCGGAGGCTGTGGCCCATGCGGTGGTTGTGGACCCTGTGAGTTCATTGCCATTCCCGACTTGGGGATCTAGATAGGGCGTTGTGTGTAGATCGTAATGCAAACTTTCTTTTTAAGGCTGCGTCTGTCCCACGCGCTACTTGAAGAGATCAGAGGAGCATATGCCCTGTGTGTGGTGTGCACCATGCAAAGCTCATTGCTACAACACCCCACCCAAGTGCTGTTGCTAGAGGCCTAAGAGCTTTGCATCGGTACGGAGTCTCCTTTAAGGAAAATCTTATCGCTAACTACCAACTCCACTACTTATCCTATTCTTACTGTCGAAAAATAAGAGGAAATATCGTAAGTGGCAATAATACCTTATCTGTTCTGATCTAATCTGATCTGACCTTTTCTGTCTATTCAAGCCGAGCTGATGTGAGCTTAGGTTAATAGTGATTGTAAAAGTGTGAAGCTCGTCAATTTGGAAGCAGGTTGGACCTAAAAGGATGGCATAAGGCTTTTGAGCTTGAGCATGGACTATCGAATATCAGGCATTACCATATAGCATGGTAAATACTAAGCCAAACTTCTATCAACCGAGACACTTGACTCGACTCATCAAAAAGAAGGTGGCCTCATTCGTATAAGCGCATACGAATGCGACCTGATAAAAAACGAAATGTCAAGCTCATTTTAAATTGTTAAATTCAAAATCTTCAGTTTTGGAACTTTTATGAATAAAAATTCGGAATCTACAAAAAGTTTGTTCATTCTTTTCCTCTATCTCAGTCGCAGTTACGTAAAAGACCTCCCAATCAGGCGTTAGTTCTTTCTACTCATCTATCTCAAGAGTTAATTACATTTCGCATACTCACAAGGTTGCCTAAAATAGGTCCTCTGTGGCTATATCCCAGGAGTCGTTCATCTGAATCAATTCGTTTCATCTACACTGTCATGGTTGTAACTCTATTATACGATGACGCATTCAAGTTCATATATGTACTTTATATAATCCAAGTCGAACGAATTGTCTAATACCGCCTCGTTGGAACACATCTTATTTTGTTTTCTCTATACTAATGATATTTAAAAATTGTACGACAATTGATATGGTATAAAGCGGTTGGTCTATAGCTCCATTTATTCAGTTGTTTCAGTGGAGTCTCAAAATGAAATTTGTTGCTGTTCTTTTGTTCGTCTTGGGAGTTATTGATATACCAGGTAATTAATTTTTGGTTTATACTCATTCGCAAAAGTGAAATGAGTATATTATTTACTGCAATGTCCATCCGCCCGCTATTCAGGCTTTTCTTAGGTAGGTTCATGTATATTACGCGCAGGTCCAGCACGTTTCCCAAAATTGATAACTATTTCCTATTAAAAACCGTATTTTAAATCAGTTCTAAAATGATGTCTCCAAATTTGAGATATAGATTCATTTGTAATTTAATGAGTTTCGAATTTGTTATACTTTGGATACTGATCCCAGATGCTCCATTGCTTTTAACTTGTGCTTTGGCAAATAAGAATAAGCAAGGAATTATTCAAATATCAGTTTCCCAAATATCAGTTTGCCATATAAATTCGTTCCTTTTGTGAAAAGAATTTTTAAGTTCTAATTTTTTCTAAATTTTTAAATACCCTTACTAAAGATTTCTTAATTCAATTCAATTTTTCTAAATTTTTAAATACCCTTACTAAAGATTTCTAAATTCAATTTCAGATATTTGCATTGAAGACTGCGGTCCTCCACGGATATTTTTGACCTGAAATGAGAGCACCTCTAATTTATTTTTTTACTACGGGTATTTTGAAAATGATACAA